CCGGCTCAGGCCAGGCCCAGGATCCATAGCCGCTTGTTGCCCACGGCAACAAACTGCCCGGCTGTTGTGTTATATGACTCTTCCTAGCAATGATGACCCGCTGAATAAACAGTTTTGATAGAGCGTGACAAAATAAACCCGGATATCTGGCAGCAGGAGTGGTGTGGAAAGTACCGCCTGCAGCGAGCCCTCTGAGCACCGGATGTCGCCCTGAGAACAATGTTGCACGATTGAATCACAGCCCGAATGTACCAGCAGCCCAGTGGGTTTCTTAGAACATACGTCAGTTTTGCCAGTTTCTTGAAAGTAGCAGTCTCGCCTGTGGCAAAGAAGGAGGGAAAAGGCTCTTGACCTCGATCTGCAGGATGTTCTAAGCCAACCCAACCTCCTCTGATGGCAATCTCCCCCAAAAAACCAAGGACGAGCAAGAAAAGAGCTGACCCAACTGACACAGCCAATTTTTCTGCTCGAGGCCGGAGGGGCCTAGGACCACCCCTGCTACTGAGCGGCACGCGCCGTGCAGCTGACACCGTGGAACACGGCGGCGATCCAAAGCCCCCCAAAACTCGTCCAGTGCGAATCAGCTTCATCAACGCGTTGCAAACTTTAGGGGAAACAAGTCACCAAAAGCATGCGAAGAAGAATACGAATGGGCTTCCACAACCGCCAATGACCGACCAAAAGTGAATGTACCAGTACGTGTCGTCATTCCATCGGCAGTTCACGCAAATCAACTATGGGCTCAATGCTGTCCTCTCGACTGTTCAAGACCTGGAGGCTCCAACTGTCTTGAGGGGGCGTCAGCCGGGTTTTCCTTGGATGAAATCCAAACGTAGAACACATCATGTCCAACAGCCAAAACGGTTGAAGCCACTTGCCGACACCTGCGATTAATATCAATAGATGATGACCTGCCCTTAGTTAAAGCACCAATCATTGCAGCACTGTCCAGCACGTGAATGAACCGACGGCCATCGTCTGAAGACCTACGCAATCTGTCATTGGCTGTCCAAACTGCGGCGTCTGCTTCCCCAATCGTAATATGCTTCGGTTGCCAAGGAACCCCAATGGTTTTCCAGGAAACTTTCTCAACGGGAATGCGAACTTTCTTGAAAGGACATTTTCCCTCTTCCTTCAAGCCCACAATTCACGGCGAGGAAACGTTAGTGTAGCAACCCTTGACCGCACTGTAACGAGCCATGGCCTGCACCACATTCTCAGGCATCACTGCAAAGGCCCGTCCCAGTCCTGTCATGCTGGCATCAGAGGCTTCAACTGTGCCATCGTCAACATCAATCGGAAACATAAGGTGGAGAGCAGCAGTTCTTCCCAAACAAGCTCAGGGAGCTCCACTAACCCCAACTTCCGCCGCCTAGCCTCATCCAGCTAGACTGGAAAATGGACCTCAAGCACGGGCGAGCTGAATGTGCGAACCCATGTTTGCCAATGACCCGGTCAAAGATCTTGAATGGCACTTTCTTCTGCGTGAGCAAGTGAAAAGATGCTTGGGTAAGATGACGTCGCTTCTCCATAGATAACCCAACCCAGTGACCGTGAGGATGAACATAGAACCCTTGAATCTCTTCACCCAAGGCTGCGTCAACGGTTGTCTTGTGCTTGGGAAGGACACCATGTGATACCCAAGAATCTTCTGCTCGATTGAGCCATTGTGGCCCGACTTCCCCCTTCGCACCCTCATCCACATGCTCCAAGCACCATATGTCGTCGATGATGGATCCCCAAACCGGAAGCTCACCAGGAACAACTTTATCAGGATGAAGTCTATGTTCAGGAGGGAGGTCCGCTACATGAGTGATGAGGTCAGTGAGTGATTGCGCCCAGCCCGCCGATGGTCCAAACCCCATGAAGGTAGACTTGCCGGGTAGACCTGTCTGAGGTCCCCACTGCGACCAGCCACATCCACTGGCGGACCGCATAGCCACTTCTCCCAGCGCCTGCCAATGCATACCGCTTTGACACTGCAACGCAACCGCGATTAGGCACTGTAACAGTTCTGAGAGAAGGCACAAACGCAAAACGGGGTCGAGGAAGTCTATCTGGGCCCAAAAGCTGATTCACCGAAGGATCGGTGATGACTCGATCCTCATGTTCGTCCTTCTTCACACCAAAAGCCCCTGCAACACATCTAATCCCATATTTGTTTGCAACTTGCGACGGCTTCTTGTGTAACATGCATTCAAGCCCCCACGGGAAAGAATATGATCATCAGTCATCACTGACTCACGCAGAGTTCTCACAATCCTAGCATGAACACGCCTGTGAGCAGCCGAGAGGATTGTCACATCACGTAGGGACCGTCCCGACTCTCCATGCAACCAATTAAGGGCAGCAATGACCAGGTTACCAAAATGCCACAATAAACGATCATCCACTGAAGTGCAAGCAGCTAGGCGCAGAATCTTGCCATCCACACTCAAAGGGCACAAAGGACACACCTGATCAGGCGCTGCACCGGGCCCCCCCTTCAAGGGCCGGTCTAACCCATTCATGCATGCGCTATTCCCCAGCCAGTTGAAGTGCGCCTTGACAGCTGACATGAATCCACCCTCCTCCCCGCAAACCCTCGCCAATCCAAAGAGCAGCCAAGGCCTGGAGAAGATAGGCATTCAAAACTTCATCTTCAGCTTGCAAAGCACCCATCCTGAGCCAGGAGCGCCGCACACCGTCTTTCAACTGTTGGTCAAAGCCAGCATGGAGCTGCTGGCTAAGGCCTTCTGGGTATTGACCAGTTCCAAGGCTCCCAAGATCCTCCTTTGGCCCGCGCTGCCTGATGCGCTTGCAAGAGTGTCCATCGCTCTTGCAATCTCTCGCCTGTTCACATGATCCCCAAGCAGAAACACTGGGATCCCGAAGCTGGCTGCTCCTCGAAACGGTGCCCTTTGAAAGTCGGTTGAACACGCTGGCCAAGAAGTGGGCCGTCAAGGCCCCCGGATGTTTTGCAGCGAATGCCACCAAATCGCCCTTCTTCTTGAACTTCAATTGGTCTACGTGGGTCAACTTGTGATAGTCCACCCGCTTGTCCCTGGCCTTGTCGCTCCAAACCAAGGGCTTCTTCGAATCCGAGGAGCTCGACGGGCGAGAGCTTGAGCGGGACCTGGAGCGTTTCGCAACCCCAGCCCGGCAGCCCCTTGGTTCCTCCTCCCGCACCAAAGGAGCGAGATCTCCCCCAACAGTTCCCGCCCAAGAATCCCAATAGGTCTCTTCAAAGATGGAAAGCAACTGCCTGCCCACCAGCTGGACTGCCTGCTGCTGCACCTCACGCACCAGAGAAGCCCGCCAGCCGAAGAGCACACCGCCGAAAGATCCGGCAGCCACAGGCACTAACGCCCGCATCAATAGAAGGGGGGCTTGAGCGGAAAAAGTGAAATGAATTCAACTGAACATCACTGTCGCTTGAAACATACACCAGCCAGTTCAAGAACAAGGTCCAAGATAGAAAAATAGATAGATAGATAGATAGATAGATAGATATATTAGATTAGATAGATAGATATATAGATAAATAAATAGATAGGTAAATAGATAGATAGATAGATAGAAAGATAGACATAGATAGCCAGCTAGCTAGCTAGATAGATAGATGGATGGATGGATGGATAGGTAGAGAGAGAGAGATAGATAGATAGGCAAATAAATACATCGGTAGAGAGAGAGAGAGAGAGGTAGATGTAGAGATAGGAAGATAGAAATATAGATAGATGGAACAATAGAGAGAAAGATAAATATAGAGAAAGACGGATACATAGCTAGATAGATAGACAGATACATAGATAGATAGATAGACAGAATTAATATAAATAGATAGATGGATAGATAGATCGACAAATAGAGAGAAAGAGAGAGAGAGAGAGAGAGACAGACAGAGATAGACAGAGAGAAGATAGATGGATAGATTGGAAAGACAAGACATAGATATAGACAGATACATATGTAGATAGATAGATAGCTGGCTAGATAGACAGATAGATAGAGTAGAGATACACACGTCGATAGGTAGATAAACAAGTAGATAGATAGAAAGATGGAGGGATCGATATGTAAATGAAAAGCAAGACATACATAGAGAGAGAGAGAGAGAAAGAAAGACAAATAAAGAAATAAAGAAATACAGACAGAAATTGAACAACATAAGACACACAGAAATACATAAAGAACAAAAAGAAAGAAAGAAATACAGAAACAACAAAAAATAAGAAAGACATAACGAAAGACAAAGAAATGGAAGGAAGGAAAGAAGGACGGAAGGAAGGAAGGAAGGAAATCAAGAAGAAGATAACACAAATCAAGAAAATAAAGAGAAATATAACAATAGTTTATATATATATATGTTTTGAGACTTCCGCCCCCCGGCTCTGCCAGACTTTACCGGTAGCATGGTCAAGTAATAAAGCGGCAATGCAGCGGGGCCGAGGTATATACCCTGGAGTACAAAACAAACTGCAAAAGTGCTTTCTATTCAGGAAAAAGGATAATCTGGGCAGGCACCAGCAAAACGTGCGGGAGTCCTCAAAGGGAATTGGACCTCTACGGTCGATCGATTTGAACACCAAAGGGCCAAGTTCTACCATGGAGTTCGTGAAGGTCAATCCCAAATCGACATCGCAGGACGCCGCTGGAGCGCGCGGAGGTGTTGGTCAAGGCACCGTGGGGTTTTTTGGTTTTGGGTGAATCAATCTGCCCAGATGTGTTGCACAATGTGTTGTTCATGAAGACGAACAAGAAGGGATGTTGGACATCCCTCTGTGAAAATCTGAGTAGGGTGGTTTCCTTTGATCGTGGTATATTCCGGTCATGATTTCCCCTCCCCCAAATATCGCACATCCTTTTTGCCTTTGGTTTGGTGGATTCTCATTCAAGATGGTCAGCGGTTCCAAGTTCCAAGTCTTTTGTCGCCAGGGTCACTGGGTAGAATTAGGGTTCAAGTAGCTGGCCCTTCTTTTCTCAAGCCTGCAGGTCGAACTGAAGCCTGCCCCCTTGGCCTGCTTCAAGCCTGGCTTGAGATGGCCCGTTGCCAACCATGAGCCCCCAGGCCGGGCTGTAGGCGACCAGCCTACTGCGACGATGGAACCGAGACTTCAAAAGCTGGGTTGGTCCTCATGGTCAAACCAAGCGGTCTGGTTATCCCAACGAATGTGTCAAAAGGCAAAGCCTCTACGTGCCTTCAGAATCTCAAACCTGTCCGGCTTCCCCTTCAAATCCTGTCTTGCTTGGCTCCTTTTTGCTATCAAGGTCTCTGGGCAAGTGGGTCAAACAGCGACCTGGAAGGCTCCGTAGGGAGTTTCAAGGGTTAGTGCTGAGGTCAAATCGATCCAGCTTGTAAAGTCGACTTGGAAGAATGCACCATTTGCATTGACATCCATTCCTTGTTTACCACTCAGTCTAAAACTCATGTTGGACTGGTTTTTGGATTCTTTCTTCCAGGGCAAACTTGCCAGCCACTCCCACCTGTTGAGGAAGAGTAGTAGGTGTTTGCAAAGGGAGTTAAAGCAATTGTGTTCCCCAGTGGGATTTGGACGAAGGTGTCGACTTTCGCGTTGGTTGGTTCAACTGCCCTAGAATTTGTTGGTTCAGCTCGCCCTCAATAGGACCTCTGCGTCCGCCGCACCTTGCCCCAGTACACGCCGCACTCCTCGAGCACCGGAAGGGTGGAAGGGTGGAATAGTGGAAGGGCGGGGTGGCAAGGGTGAAGGTAGGCTAAAGACATCCCACTGACTCACACCGCTAGACACGAGCTTGAGGGCTCCAATTTCAAAGCTGATGCAGAGGCAATCCGTGAAAGACAAATTTGTAACCTCGTACTTTCCTGAGAATTTCAAGCAACGCCATTCTCAGCAACAAAATACTCTCAAGATCCCAGTGTCCCATCCAATCGACTCGAAATCATCTTCGGCCCCTTCGGCCCCTGTGTTTGGTCGAAACCAAAGGCGCCAGGGAAACCAAAGGTTGGAATTTGAGTCGAAAACATATCCCTCTCCGAAGCTCCAGGAAGAGATACAGAGGAGACCCGACAGACAGACTCCACGTGGCTCGCTGCGGACTTGGTTCAGACCCTTGTTTGAGGGCCTTCGCAACTTCGCAAGTCAGGCATTGTCCGAATTGGTCCCCTACATGCAAACTCTTCTCAAAAACAACCTTCCCTGCGGCTTCTTGTTCCAAGCAAAAGGGGTTCATCCCAAACAAATCGTACCCGAAACGCGCAAAACACACACACACACCTCAAAGTGGCTTCTGGGTTGGAACCCGCGATTTTCTGCATTTCATATATACTTGTGATTTCCAGCTGGAGATGCAAGCGCTGTCCGTTAAAAGTCGTGATTTTCAAGCGCACGATGCGCGCAACTTTTGCACGTAGATACTTGCTATTATTATTCACTCAGAGCTGCGTACTTAAGAAGTTGCGACTTTTGAGCGAAGCTGCGAGGTTCTTCGCGTACTACTTGTGCGCTTGCCGACAATGCTGGAGAAGGGTATTTCAGCCGAGCTGCGCGAGCCCGCTTCACGCGTGCTGCCTTTTTGCACTTAAACCTTGCGATGCTTTCAGCCGAGCTTGCGCGAGCGCGCTTCGCGTGCTACTTTTTGCACGTAAGCCTTGCGAATTTCGCGCTGGGCTGCGGAAGCACACTTCGCCTGGATAGTCGAGAAGTTGCGATGTTGCAGCTGGAGATGCGGGAGCGCACTCCGCGCACTAAGTGACAATACTTTCATAATTACAAGCTGCGATGTTCGAGCCGGTGCACGGGCCAAGGCAGAACCCGAGACCGCGCGCGATCCTGAAAGCAGGCGTGTGAACCGCGCAAAGAAAACCGTGTTTGGCGCGAGGCTTCCTCAACAAACGCACCCCGCATCGTAGTGCGAACCTCGGCGGCCCAGCCCCTGTCATTAAAAATGCACTCTTCCAAAGACGCGCTTGGTGCGAGGCTTCCTGAAAAAACACAGTGCGAACCCAGAACTATTGCCCCTGCCAGCAAAAGCCGCAAAATGCGCACGGCGCCACAGCGAGAGCGCACCCCAATTTCGCGCGAGACTGTTGCATCGAAGACACCGCTTTGTGTCAGCATTTCGAAAGGTCATTGCAATTCTCATTCCCTCCTATCGAACCCATTGAAAGTCACCCAAAACCCATGTCGGCCGGAGCGTGTATCGTTGTTTCAGGCTCAGTCCCTTTGGTTTGTTTCAGAAGGAAGCAAAACGGAAGCCTGTTTGAGGGCTTGTCACGAGAACGTGTTGCGGTGGTTTCCCCAGCCAACGCTTTGAGCGCGAACCCTCGATCTAGCCTGGCCTTAGCTCTTACCGTAAGAACCTCTTAGTGGAAACACTATTTGGGAAGCATATATTTTCAACAGGCTGTCTTAAAGGAAAATGGAGTCCTCCAAAAAACATCCGATTCCTATATGGTTTCCTTCAAGGGAACCCCCAAACGGTTCATTCCCAAACCCTAGGTCATTCCCTGAGCACCCCAAAGGCGCCCCGTTCTCCAAAGGTGCCTCCACATGCTGAACATCAATCAGGTTTTGTAGGTGAAATAGACAAGCCAGTGTCAAGACTCCGGGTCTAAGACAAGTCACAAGAGTTCCCTCCTTGCGATCAGGCATCTCCAAAGCGGCACCCAGACACCAAAAGGTCTAAGCGAAGATCCGAGCCAAAGGTTCTGCAAGGCAGGGAATGAGCTGAAACTGCAAAGTTGAAACCTGAGGAACTGGAAGGAACCCCGAGGAAGGCCGAAGCAAAACTTCAGGAACCCACAGGAGCGCCGAAGCAAAACCTCAGGAACCCTATAACCTTGTCTAGCCAACCCGCTTGAGCCTGGCACCTTAAGAAATGTCTGAAACCATGGCTCAAGATACCCGACCTCTCAACACTGCAGGGGACTCACCAAAGTTGGGTCTGATGGAAAAAAGCAAAAACATATGCTCAGCACTAGATTCCCTTTACAACCAGGCAAACTAAACAAGATAAGCAAATAGAAGTTAAACATCAAGCTGCCTGCGCTTCAAACGGCAACTGAGTCAAGGACCCTTAAGATCCGTGGATTCTGTGGATGGTATCCTTGAGTGGATTGTTCCGAAAGGGAGGTGTTCAGTGCAGTCCTCAAACAACTTTCTCCTACTGCTCCCCAAAAACACCTCCAGCGTTTGCCTAGTCTTCCCCAAGAATGCGCGCTTGAGTTGGTGTGTTGGGGGTTCCCCCTTTGGAGGGTCCGACATCGGCATAGCAACGCCTCCGAAGCTATTGCCAAACCTAGCGCATGTGCTTTGTGTTTCGGAAGGTAGCCTTGAAGCTGTTGAAAAGGGGAAATGCAATATGATGGATTCACAGGCATCAACATGGATTAGCTAATTACACACATATTGTCCTACATGAAGTAACTTGGGCAACCCGATTCCAATCATTTCCGTAATCCCAAGGCGCAGCTCTTCAAGCATCGCAAACCAGAATTCGCATGAGTCGCGCGCGCAAGCGCGAGCGCGCATCGTGCGCGCATCGTGCGCGCAGGAGTTGACAGCAGGTCGTGCGACTGCCACGCCGAGCATGTTCCTTGACGTGGACAGCCGGGGCCAAGTAGTCATAGCCACCGTGACCCCAAGTTGCACTCTTGAATTGGAGGGCAAAAGTCTTTTCGACCTTTGGACAAGAGGAGCAACGTCCCCTTCCAGCCCAACAAACCACCTTGGGGCGCAAATCTTCCAAACGCCTTCTGTTGCACCAGCGGTCAAAAGGCTTTTACCCTGAAATGGTCCACGCGGAAAACGCAGCTCAGGGACCAGCAGCAAGCCGGCCAGTGCCATTAGCAAAACCTCGTGGCGCCTGCGACAAATGCGAGGACCTCGCGCAGTGTCTCACTTTCATCCATTGGGCAGAGAATCTTAAGAACTTGTTTGGCACCACCAAAAGTTTAAAGGATATTCCAAAAAAGGCTTCAAGTCCAGAAACAGAAATGCTGAGGTGTTACACTGTGGGGTGTGTGGTTGTTGTTGCATGTGCTTGCTGCTGGTTGCTGGTTGGCTGTCCTTTGTGGTGAGTTGTGTTCCCTTTTCTGCAGGGTCTCATCGACCAACCATCACAAAGTGCAGGGGGCCTAAATTACCTCAGTGTTTTACTCCGAATAAAAAATGAGATGATTCATTGTGGGCTCATTTTCAGTGAACCTTGAAATGTAACATTTGCAAGGAGCCCCCAATGAACGCAAGACGGGAATTCTGGCTTACATCCCGTCACAACAAAAGAACCTCAATCTACGCAATATCTACCCACATCTACTCCCCCCAAATGGGTCAAAGTGGCGTATGCATGATATATATATATATATATATAATTGTACTGAACATATTTATATACTTATATATATATATATATAGAGAGATACATGCTAATCCAGCCCCCTTCCAGAATATCCTACCAATATGGATGTATATTCATAGCTTCGGGTATGGCCAAAGTAGTGATGTTTGAATCTGCCCAGCCCGCCAGGCCTCCTCACACCTCGCCCGCCGGAGCGCAGGTCTGGCTGTTCAGCACCACCTGCCGGCGCTTTTCAGCACGGCCGGCGGACGAGGGTTGCGCCAACTGAAGTGGACAAAAAGCTTCGCCTTAGAACAACCTTCCGATCGTCAGCTTCCATGATTGCTTCAAAGAAAGGGAAAGTGTCTACCTTGGAAATTGCAGACAACACACTTGCAGCTTCCCCCGCATGTCTGCTCACGTATTGCTGCACTGAAGCTACCCACCAAGAAAAAAACCAAACTCGAGTGCCTGCCAGTCGCCACTGCAGATAAGCAGACAGTTTTCTTTTCTTGTTTGAAGGGGTTCCATCAGTTGCCTTTCTAAGAAATCAAAGGCAGCAGTTTTCTACGAGTAGCTCGAACTCTGCGGGGTTTAAGTTAAAACCGTGGGCATCGGGGTTGAAACAAGGTGACCCTAGTTTAAAAATGGCACTGAACCAACAGGATTTCAGCTCTCCGAGTGCTTAGCATTGATCATTTGGACCCTGCTTCAAATCCCCCAAGCCATCTATCCAACATCACCATGAGCGAAAGGCAAAACCTAAGTCTAAGTTGGACTAGTTCGAGTGGGAAGCTATCGCTTTTCGGGGGTTCACTATGGTTCCTGAAGGTTTCTGTGCTTTCACTAAAAACAATGAAGAAGCATATCTTTGCATCAACGAGTTTTGGCCTCTCTCTCAAATGAGGGAACCTGAAAGACCGAAAGATGTGTTTTAAACCAAAACATGTGTGTTTAATCAAACAATCAATGTGTCAAATAAAACAAGATCCAGGCAAAAACAACTCACTCCGAGGTTGGCCACTCGGCCCTCCGAAAACCTCGGGTGCATTTCCGAGTCGGGGTCCCCGCCCGGACGTTGATAGGCTTCACGAGGTTCACGATGAGGTGGTCCTATGGGACGTCCAATTGGGGAACCCTAACAAATGTCCTTAACAAAACCAATGTTTTTGTTGGGGGGCGGGGCACCAATGGACCAAAATTTGATTTGGCGGTCCTATGGGTTGCAAAATGACTTTCTTTGCTTCCCCAAGGCAACCAACAAACAATATACCCTCAAGAACAGCTGTGGTGTTGTCTTTGCTTATTCAAAGCAACCAACAAAACATGCTTTCCCCAACACAAAAGGCGAGAGTGGCTTCGAGGCTTCGCCCAAAGCAAAGCATGAACTAACCGCCAGCCTCAGAAGTGTTTGTTTGACTTTTGGCCCCAAGGTGCCCTGGCTCCCACCCTACCGACTTCAGGATGGTGATTCACAGCCTTTCGCCTTGAGTGTCTTGTCTTGATTGATTTTTGTGCTGGGAGTGCTTTGTTTAGGGGGTAAACTACCCCTTGAAATCTACAGTTGTTGTCGTGGGGGCGGGGGTTGGTGAAACCACCAAGTTAACCATAGACGTGCTTTCTTTTGGCGGGGGGGCTGAAAGCAACCATATAGCCCATGCCATGTTGCCTTGTGTTGGTAAAACACACATCAGAACATTCCCCAACATTGCCTCAAACAAGGTTGAAGATGTGAAGTTGGACAGGAACACCTCAACATCCTAAAATTAGAGTGAAACAGGTTGCAGGGGGACATGCAACAAATGCCGCGAACGACATCCAAGGAAGCAAAGGCGTCTAAAACAACAACCAAGAGGAAACAAATGGCGACGAACAACAGCCAAGGCAAGGCTGAATCCAAGGGAGGAAGCCAAACCGAGGCCAGGAACAAGGGAGGAAAAAAGACGCAAGCGCCAAGGCCAGGAAGAGCATCCAAGGAAATCCAAAGACGCAAAAAGACACCAAGGCCACAACATCCCAACAAGAAGAACGCACCAAGGGCAGCTCCAAGAAATTTATCGCTTTCTGCGGTCTCTTTACTCTGCGAAAGACAGGGGTCAACAGGCAAACATACCATCTCTGGAGTTGCGCCGTCTGCTTTCAAACGAACTGGGCCGAAAACCAGCCATGTCCTGATCAGAGCAGTACTGTACGTTGTACTCGTAGCCAGGAAGATCCGACAAGCCGCCTGGCAAGTCACCAGATCATGTAGTTTAGAGGGAAAAAGCAAAACACAAATTTATGAATATCAATATTCATTATTATTGTCCCCTATGCTGACTCGCAATACCCTTGTCTCTCAGAATGCAGCAACCCCAAAGATCATAGATGGTTTCCAGGATCTTCTGTTGACGTCAAACAAAAAATATTGCGTCTGAAACAGGACCCGTAGAACAAATGTAGCCGCGGCCTTGTTTCCTTGTAAAACCATCCCACAACAAAATGCCACTATTTTGAGACAGACCCACTGCATCCGAAATGAAACGTGTCTTAAGTAGGTTTGATTCTGTCGTCATAGTAGCCACCCAAATTCCAGGCGCATATTCATATGACAATGTGTTTTTGAGCGGACTGCAACGTTTGATCCCTGAATGACGCTGACTAAGTCTGCTTCTGACCCTAATCAAAACTGAAGCCATTCCTTTTCTTTTGAAAGAAAGGCCCCTCATCTTTTTCAGGTTCAGGAGACTGCATCGACATCGAAGCCATCGTTTTGACTCAGCGAGGCACAGCTGTTGTCGCTCTCGAGGGTGATGGCTCCCTCGTTGTTCTGGAACTGCGCGCCGTTGCACTGCCCCGGGTGGACACCGTCGGCCTCTTCGGATGGGCACAGGCGAAGTTGGAGCACGAAACATGGAGGAGAAGCAACTGGTGGTTCCTCTAAAAAGGCCTCCCGCATTCGGATGGGCAAAGGCGAAGTTGGAGCACGAAACATGGAGGAGAAGCAACTGGTGGTTCCTCTAAAAAGGCCTCCCGCATTCGGATGGGCACAGGCGAAGTTGGAGCACGAAACATGGAGGAGAAGCAACTGGTGGTTCCTCTAAAAAGGCCTCCCGCATTCGGATGGGCAAGGCGAAGTTGGAGCACGAAACATGGAGGAGAAGCAACTGGTGGTTCCTCTAAAAGGCCTCCCGCATTCGGATGGGCACAGGCGAAGTTGGAGCACGAAACATGGAGGAGAAGCAACTGGTGGTTCCTCTAAAAAGGCCTCCCGCATTCGGATGGGCAAAGGCGAAGTTGGAGCACGAAACATGGAGGAGAAGCAACTGGTGGTTCCTCTAAAAAGGCCTCCCGCATTCGGATGGGCACAGGCGAAGTTGGAGCACGAAACATGGAGGAGAAGCAACTGGTGGTTCCTCTAAAAAGGCCTCATTCCAAAGGCATTCAGGAGAAGCAACTGGTGGTTCCTCTAAAAGGCCTCCGCATTCGGATGGGCAAGGCGAAGTTGGAGCACGAAACATGGAGAAGCAACTGGTGGTTCCTCTAAAAAGGCCTCCCGCATTCGGATGGGCACAGGCGAAGTTGGAGCACGAAACATGGAGGAGAAGCAACTGGTGGTTCCTCTAAAAAGGCCTCCCGCATTCGGATGGGCACAGGCGAAGTTGGAGCACGAAACATGGAGGAGAAGCAACTGGTGGTTCCTCTAAAAAGGCCTCCCGCATTCGGATGGGCACAGGCGAAGTTGGAGCACGAAACATGGAGGAGAAGCAACTGGTGGTTCCTCTAAAAAGGCCTCCCGCATTCGGATGGGCACAGGCGAAGTTGGAGCACGAAACATGGAGGAGAAGCAACTGGTGGTTCCTCTAAAAAGGCCTCCCGCATTCGGATGGGCACAGGCGAAGTTGGAGCACGAAACATGGAGGAGAAGCAACTGGTGGTTCCTCTAAAAAGGCCTCCCGCATTCGGATGGGCACAGGCGAAGTTGGAGCACGAAACATGGAGGAGAAGCAACTGGTGGTTCCTCTAAAAGGCCTCCCGCATTCGGATGGGCAAAGGCGAAGTTGGAGCACGAAACATGGAGGAGAAGCAACTGGTGGTTCCTCTAAAAAGGCCTCCCGCATTCGGATGGGCAAAGGCGAAGTTGGAGCACGAAACATGGAGGAGAAGCAACTGGTGGTTCCTCTAAAAAGGCCTCCCGCATTCGGATGGGCAAAGGCGAAGTTGGAGCACGAAACATGGAGGAGAAGCAACTGGTGGTTCCTCTAAAAAGGCCTCCCGCATTCGGATGGGCAAAGGCGAAGTTGGAGCACGAAACATGGAGGAGAAGCAACTGGTGGTTCCTCTAAAAGGGCATTCGGATGGGGCGAAGTTGGAGCACGAAACATGGAGGAGAAGCAACTGGTGGTTCCTCTAAAAAGGCCTCCCGCATTCGGATGGGCAAAGGCGAAGTTGGAGCACGAAACATGGAGGAGAAGCAACTGGTGGTTCCTCTAAAAAGGCCTCCCGCATTCGGATGGGCAAAGGCGAAGTTGGAGCACGAAACATGGAGGAGAAGCAACTGGTGGTTCCTCTAAAAAGGCCTCCCGCATTCGGATGGGCAAAGGCGAAGTTGGAGCACGAAACATGGAGGAGAAGCAACTGGTGGTTCCTCTAAAAAGGCCTCCCGCATTCGGATGGGCAAAGGCGAAGTTGGAGCACGAAACATGGATGAGGAGAGGCAACTCTAAAAACAACTCATCGAACGAGAAAACACGGCAACGAGAAAACCGACGGATTCCGGAAACGGATGGGGAAAGAAATCCTGGCGGAGGGCGCCTGGGCTCGGCCAGAAGAACTGGCCCGTCGGGGGCAGGTTTGGTCAAGGTCCTTCCCTTCGGGGTTCTATGTTTTTCGGCGTGCCACACAAAAGTCCAAACGTCAGAATTTATAGCACTTCATGTTGTGCGTATATTTTGTGTTGGGGGGGCCAAACAATTGCTTCGGTTGTCTTTCTGCTTCTCCTTCGAAAACCACACAAAAAGGGGTATCCTCGAAAACAAGACACACTCGTGTATGCCTAATAGTTTATCCAAATGTTGGTGTGTGTTGTCTACGTGGAGCGTGTGGGTAAGTCGGATGCAAGAGGCATCGATGGGGATGGCTGGCAATGCCTGTATCTCCGCCAGTCCCCACACGCGGGCCCCACACCGAAACCCTTTGAAGAACTCTGCATGTTTTGTCTCAGCCAAGCCCCAAGGGTACGGCAAAACGAAGAACCCACAGCCATGTGCAATATCTACCTACCTTTGCCCTTCCAATGGGTCAAATGTTGGCATACATGAATTGTGCGGGGGATGTTCAATTCGCGTTCATACTTGGAAGCAAACGGCGTGCATTACTTCTCTTGTGGGGAACAATCCTAGGATCCAGCTTTGAACACTTTTGAATCCGGCTCTTTCCATAAAAAGAAAAGAATGAAAGAACAAAACGGCCCATGTACGAAACCAATTGGGTGACAATCAAAACCCGGAAAAAAAGCCACAGCCATGCGACGAATCGAAAAGGCGGATATCCGTCCCGACTTACCCAACTTAATCTTGTTCTGATTGTGACTCATTTATGAATTGAACATCAAGGCAAATGAAATAGGCGGATTCAAACAAAAAAACAATCTCCCTTTTGCGGATTCCAAGCAAAAATCCGCGCAACCATAAACAGCGATCGTCCGCCAAGCTTGCGGGGCCGATAGGTAGGGAATGACCGAGACCGGGTGTTGGGAATGAACCGTTTGCGGATTCTCTTGAAGGAAACCCTAGGTAACGGATGGTTTCTCAAGAGCTCATGCCTCATTCCCTGCCCGTGAGACCCGGCAAACCATGGATGGTTCTTCGAGGGGTTCCAAATCTCATTCCCTGCCAAAAGCAAACCAAGCCAACCAACGCTAGGTCCTCCAGTAGAGAGGTTAGAATAAGGGTACCCGTTTTGCTTTAGTCCATTTTAATACGCGCCGGGTACATACCCACCCGCGCGTTTTTGTGCGTGTCTTCGGCTTTTGTGATTGAATTCTCAGGCAGTTTCACAAACGTGCATCTTTGTGGGTCTTTGAACATCCCGGTAACTAACTCATTTCAGAGAAAAGCCGCGCATTTTTTGTTCTAGTCAGGACACATGGCAGGGAGACGTGGGCTGTGAGAAGTCGGGGAGCGGCTGGAGACATGTCCTATCCCAGTGGAACTTGAAATCCGCCGCCTTCGTGGACTTTGTTGTTTGTTGTTTCGTTTGAGCGGGTGCAGTTGAGCGGGTGTTCTTACCATTTGGCATGCGAGCGTGCAGCGCAAAGCGGGTGCACTTCAGCGAGTGTTCTTACCATTTGGCAGCGCAAAGCGGCTCCACATGTCTGCTACCAGGTAGCAGCAACATCTCTCCTAAGAGATGGTTGCTCAAGTGCCAGCGATTGCGTCCCTCGGCTCTGTTCGCCCACAATGTTGCGTTTCTTCATCGACAACGAACTTGCTACGTGCGCGTTGCAGAAGGGCGAGGGAAAAGGATGAGTAGAGAAACCGCCTTTTGACGTGGACATGCTTCCATTTGGATCCTGTGTGGCAGCCTGTGGCTTGACCCAAACGTTGAGAAAAGCTGAGTGCGACGGGATGAACAGGTGAAACCAATAGAAAAGAGCAGATTGCTCCTGACAAAAAGCTCAGAGAGTTGCAGCTCGCGTAGATGTCGTGTTGCGCTTCGGCGGGTGTTCTTGCCATTTGGCATGCGTGTGTGCAGTGCTGAGCGGATGCACCTCAGCGGGTGTTCTTACCATTTGGCACGCGTGTGTGTGCAGCGCAAAGCGGGTGCACTTCCGGGGGTGTTGTTACCATTTGGCATGCGTGTGTGCACCGCAAAGCGGGTGCACTTCAGCGGGTGTTCTTACCATTTGGCATGCGTGTGTGCAGTGCTGAGCGGATGCACCTCAGCGGGTGTTCTTTCCATCTGGCATGCGTGTATGCAGTGCTGAGCGGATGCACCTCAGCGGGTGTCTTTCCATTTGGCCTGCGTGTGCGCAGCGCAAAGCGGGTGCACTTCCGGGTGTGTTCTTACCATTTGGCATGCGTGTGCGCAGCGCAAAGCGGGTGCACTTCAGCGGGTGTTCTTACCCCATGGCACGCGTGTGTGCAGTGCTGAGCGGATGCACCTCAGCGGGTGTTCTTACCAATTTGGCATGCATGTGTGCAGCGCAAAGCGGGTGGACTTCAGCGGGTGTTCTTGCGGTGCACTTCAGCGAGTGCTCTGACCATTTGGCATGCGTGTGTGCAGTGACCAGCGGGTGCACTTCAGCGGGTGTTCTTACCATATGGCATGCGTGTGTGCAGTGCGGAGCGGGTGCTCTTGAGAGGGTGTTCTTACCATGTTGGCGGGGGTAAAAACCACTTCGACTTGCGGGTGGGTAAATACCCGGTACCTTTTAGTAGGGGAACCCTCCCCTAAAAAAACGAGTAAAAGGGCACTACTGGGGGACCTTGGAAGGGTAGCAAACCCCGGAGGAGCGCCCCCGTCGCCGAAGCTCCGTGCCTTCATGTCCACGACCCCCACGTTGCCATCCACCGAGACCACGTTGATGTTGAAGGTCTGGACCAGCAGCGAGCCCCCGTAGCAAGCCTCATCGAACCCCCGGAAAAAAAAAAAAAAGAAGAAGAGCCGGGTTCAAGGTCAGAATCAAGAGTGACAAGGGCTTTATACAAACGGCCCCTGGGTCCATTAAAGTGACATCCTCGAAAAAGTACCATCTAAATGGCAATCAAAAAGGACACCACAAAAAAGCTGCTTCTCAGCAGCCCTCAACATCTTCACCTTGAGGGACCATCGAGTTCTACGTGCATCCCATGTAAAGCGTGAGAGCCCTGAAGGGAAACAAAGATCAGGCTGGCACCATACCAAAAGAAAGATCCCCACATGAGTCAGAATCACATGTTCTTGGTGGCCGCAACTATTACTGCCTGGGATTGTCCCTCAAACCTTCACCTACCGGGGCTTTGGGTTGGGGCTCACATGACTTCACCCTTCCACACGGTGAAGCAAACACTGCAATTTCAAGGACACCCGTAGCTCTCAAAAATAGGAAAGCCCCAAAGTGGAGCATTGGTGGAGCATGCTTTCATTTGATTCCACTTTGAAACAACCCCTAAAAAAGGCTGTAAACTCCAACAAAAGGCACATCCATCAATTCAGGGGTCAATAAACACTACAACTATGTCTCCTGGATTGTCCCAGAAGAGTAAACAAGTGAAAAGTGCTTGGACACACAAAGGAGTGATGTTGGCTTAAAAAAGCTGTTGCTCATGAAAGCTACACAAGCAAGTCCACAGAGAAACAGGCTCTCGCCCTCTCGCCACAGGCGCCGGCGCCGGGGGCAGCGCGCCGGAGCCACTGCACGCCACGTCGGCCCGGGCGCCCCGCAGTGCCCCCTGGCGGCTGCGGGCTTGTTTCGGCGGCGCGCGGCCTCCCGAAATTGTTTGGGTGACCCGTTGAATGGGTTCTATAAGAAATGGAATCCGACATCAGGTGCCAAAAGCACATCATTGGCATTCTTTTTGGGTGAACCGTGAACCAGATACCACCAAACAGCTCTCCCGTGGCTCCCGTTCCGCGGGCGTCCGCGCCCCGCCTCTCCCGCTGCCAGCAGAGGCATGGCAAAGCTCAGCGCGCGGAACATGGCGGAGAGGCGATTCGGAGGCAGTGCGGTCGGATCTCGTGGACAGCTGCGGATGGGACTTGTTGCATTTGTTGGATGAGCGCATGCGCGCGCACGCGTCGGGTGCAAGATGGCGCAGGTCCAACCCATGTTGGTGTAGTAAACCAGTTATACTTATTGACATATCGGGAGGTGTGCCATCTATTTTCACCCCGTTTACAGCCAGAAACAGATTCATAGGCAACCAATCGACGTAGTTTGAGATCAGTTGTCCACAGGGGCGACCTTTGCAAGGGAATTTTCATTATTTATGGGTAGTTGGAGGGTCCAGGTAGTCATGATTCCAGCTGCTGGCAAAGACCCAGACATAAAATCGCCTGAAGCTACCTCTGCACTTGCTTCGCCAATTTAGATGAATAGATTGGTCCAACCAGAAAACCTTTCGGTTCCCGTTTGGCCGCTTGGCTTCTTTGCAAGGCGAAATCGGTGGATTCTAAATATGGGAGAGGGCCTTGCTTATGCTCCTCCCCACTCGCGCTCGCCCACTTTGGGAGGCGAACAGCGGTGCATGCATGCGGGACTCTGCCAGCCTTCGAAAAGATTTGCTGTTGACACTGGGTCCATGAAAGCAACATCCCTCAAAAAACATCCCAATCCCACTGATGGGTTTCAAGAGCCGTAGCTTTGATGGACGCCACTCGTATGGTACAAAGCCATAGCTGGCTCCCCTCAGACCTCTCCAGCAGGTGGGCAGGTTTGGCTTTCCAGCACAACCTGAAATGGAACCGGGGTGCATTCCCAGAACCAAGGGCACAGCTTGGCTCGCTTCAGAAATGGGTGAATCCCACATGAAAAAGCTTTGCTCTTTTGTGGCGGCGCCGGGGGGGGGGGGTCTTGAGAACATTTGTGCAGTACCCAATGGACCCCCGCACAGGTGCCTTGCAGTGTTTTGACTGAGTTCTACTTCTGGTTCTTATCACCAGTTGACTGCAGCAATTGGGAGCACTGGGATAGGCAACCTGACATGCTTCATGTTTTCCAAAGGGAATCTTGTTTTTCTCCAACACAGGGGGCGTGCGCTTGCTTGCCACTTGATAAGGACATACTATCGCTCCAGGCGATGCTGAATCCTGCCGCGAGATTCAGCAGCGCCCAATTCCTGTTGGCTCGTGATTCCAAGATTCCAGACAGACAACATCGAGGATTGAATTTGCCTGCCGGGTCAGTCTTTCACCCCTTACACCCCACAAAAAGAAGATTTATGTGGCTGTGGGTCAAAACCCAGGAAAGCCCTGGTGAACATCATAGGTGGCAAATGGATGTTCCACCCCAAAATGGGATCGCTATAGGTTCTGCAACCCATGGCCATGTGTTTGCTGTGCTACCAGGGGGGACATCCCCGGATTGTGTGCCGGGCCCGCGCCAACTGGCAGCCACGCCGCCCTCACGTTCACGGGCTTCACGAGGTTGACGATGAGGTGGTCCTGACGCGAAGCCCGGGATCTCGCGGCCTTCGAAGAAAATAGGGGAATAGGAATTTCGGAGTTCTCTAGAGCACCTTTTGCCCATTGAACATCATGCCCTTTGGAGCCCTAGCCCTTTGAGTTGCACGTGCAACATTCCATCGACTTCGCCTCGAGTGAAGGTCACTCTTAGGATTCACAAGGTGAATTCGCTTTGAGCCGCGGGAAATCTACCCTGCCTCACAATGCCCTCTTCGATTCTGCGGCACCTCGTCACCTCCAGGTTCGGATACCAAGGGATTCACCCGGCAAGCATGAGTTGGGGGTTTGGATTGTTGGAGTTCAACCTCTTACATTTGCAGAGGGTGAATGTCGCACTCATAGGAGTCCTTTTTGGTTGTTTTGGTTGAAAAATCGATGGCACTGGTTTACCTGGTGATTTAATCATCCACCAGGGCCATCTATTTCCCCTAAAAGGACACCTATGGTCGCACCATGTTACGGGATTTGCTTCGAGTCCTGGGAAAGAAACCCCTAACCACCAAACCACCAATCCAAAGCACCAATTTGCGGAAAGCTGACCCATGTTTGCGAAACAGCACCAAACTTAGACCAGTTTCTCCTTGGTGGTTTGGATGCGCTTGGCGGACGCCATGGTGGGTCCCCGTTTTCTCCCACTGCTGTCCAAGGCGTTTCTCCAAGAACCTCATCGCGGCCGGGGAAAAGGCACCTTTGCTCGACACTCTTTTTGAAAGGCATCAATCAAAACAACTTTGTAAAGCCATCACACATCGGGAGGTCCCTGTTTAAAGCCACCCTCGGGGTCCCACAGCGCGTAGGACCACGAACAGGAATCCGGTCCCTTGTGCTTCGCATTGGTCCTGATCCGAGCAGTACTGCACGGTGTAGTCGTAGCCCGCGAGATCCGACAAGCCGCCTCAAGCCGGGAGCGGGGAGCGGGGCGGCCGGGCGGGCTCGCAAAATAGGAATCAGTGCCCTACCTAAACAGGTTTCCGAACACAACCCGCATCTGAGGAACCCGGAGCAACTTCACCAACCGAAAGTTGACCAACGCCTTTGACAAGACTTCTGACCCGAATCAAACCTGAGACCATGGCTTTTACTCTTGAGAAATGCCCCCCCCCCATCTTTTCAGGTTCAGTAAGATGCATCGCCATCCAAGCAATCGTTTTGACTCAAAACCGAGGCACAGCTGTCGTTCTCGATGGTGATGGCTCCCTCGTTGTGCTGGAACTGGGCGCCGTTGCACTGGCCCTCGTGGGCACCGTCCGCCTGGAAGGAAGGAACCAATCGGAGCCTTGCGGAAACATGTGCCACTGCCTTGTGGCTTCTTTTTGCTGGGCAATTGACATTCAATGTGGTTCATAGCGTGGATACCTTGAAATCAACTGTTCTCTGCGTGGCTTGACTGGGGCAACTCAAAACAAGTGATGAAACCATAATATGGCGACATTCTCCATTGAAGAAAACGTTTTCTGTACGGCTTCCTCCATGGTTACTCAATTCCAAGCAACCATTGCCGCGTTGGGCCTAGGGCAACTCCTGGCACGAGGCGAATCGGAGTCGTGTCGGCCTGAGGACATCCGCCCTCCAAAGGAAGTGGTGTTTTCGGGTAACTGACTTGGGGCGGGTTCTAAAGCGAGAGAAAACCCACATTTTGGAGGGTCCCGCAATTTCGGGGGGCCATACCCTGTCAAAAATCGCCCCCCCTTAAGCTGAAAAACAACATGCGCAACCCACTGCCATGTTGTTCAAAGAGCTGGGTCTTTCATCGCGGCTCCTGGCCCGCCCTCCATTTGGGTGTGTCTCTTTTCTTTAGGAACGACCCCCCCCCCAAAAAAAAAAAAAAGAAACACAAAAGGGGTCCCTTTGGTTTCCCCCTCTAAACCAGCCAAAACGTTCCCCGCCCCCCAAAAGCAAACACTGCCATGTGGCTTCTTGCTGTCTCAAAAGATTTGCCAAAGGGAAACCCAGGAGAACCCACAGATTGAAGCAAATAACCACCAGGAGGTTCTTGAAACACTTTGCCGCTTCTTCTTGCCATGATTCAAACATGGTTGAACTCCCAAAAGCGGGTGTCTCAACTGCTTGGTGGTGGATCTTTGTGCTTAAGCCATTTGCTCTAGCCTTTGATTTTCTAGAAAGCCCTTGAAGTCTCCATAACTTGGAGTTTTGCACAACGCCCGGGCGTCGCACCTCGCTCGTTGTTTTTCTTCGCCTTTTGCTTCACCCCATTCTCTCCATTTGCTTAAGTCTCCTGGAAAAAACATATTTCCAGTAGTGATTGATTCCCTTTAAAACCAACAGGGGAAAATAACAAAATATTATCGATATTATTAACCAAATGGAACATTCGACATTCGCCTTCAAGTCCACGACCCCCACGTTGCCATCCACCGACAAAACGTTGATGTGGAAGGTTTCCACCAGCAGCGAGCCCCCGTAGCACGCCTCAAGGAGCTCTCGCGCTCGATGAGCGCGAGGGTTTGGGGGGAACAAGACGTGCCATTGCCGCGGGGTGGGCGAGTCCGGGTCACTAGAGATGGGCAATGAGAGAGTTGAACGATACCTTCGCCGTAGCAAAGAAGCGAGGCTTCTAAACCAGTCTCATCGGATAGATCCGTCAAAGAGAAAGTCCGAAGTCACCCCGCGGCCTGGGTCCTTCACAGCGAGACAGGCCCTTCTGATTCAGAGCTGGGAGGGGTTCATTCAGACACGTCATGCTGAGTGCAAAACAAAGGGTCCAGAAAAGCGAAAACACGAAGGCCGCAGCCTTTAAACGCGCCCTGGCCCATTTTCAGTTTCAGTAGTTTAGGTTGAACTGGTCAGGTCATACATTTCCAAAGGGTGGCCATTGGCACAGGCCAAGCAAAGATATCCTTCCAAAGAAGGTATTTGGGTGCGGCTCAAAACACGGCCGAAAATGAAACCCTGGCAAATGGAGAAGTGGACTGAACCTGTAAGCAAAAGCAAAGTTGCTTGAATGGTGTCAGAGTTGTTTGCGATCCCGCAAACAAAACCCCTAAAAATAGCTTCTACCCATTGAGGGAAAGTGCTCCATGTTGGTTGGTCTAGCTTGTAGGCAAGCCTTGATTAAAAAATGTAAGCTCATTCAACCGGCGATCCACCCGGCGCTTGCGGAGGAGGGGATGCCGGAAAGTCGAAAACATATAAAATGGGTGTCTCCTGTTCTAGGGGGGCTTTAACAATGCTTTCCCTTTGGTTTCCCTTTAAAATCAACCAAACAGTAGTACCCTCAAAAAAAACATCCCCATATCCTTTTCCGCTTCCTTTAGACCAAAAACACTTGATGTGCTTTTCGGCGCCCAAGACAAATCATATGCTCGGAATCCAAGTCCATACGGCTTCCCTCACTGAGCATACCCTGTGATGCCGAGCCTTCGAACTTGTGGGCGGTCTGTGTCTTGCTGGTACTGTACCACTGTTGGATCAGGAAGGGAAACGGCCTCGTATGTTGAGACGCTTTGGCGTTTTGGGGCTTCCTGGGGGGAAAAAACACTTCCCCCCCCCCAGTAAATGAACTCTCACCTGTGGATATGTCCAGTGGATACTGGATTTCCATGGGCACGGCGTGCATGTGACAGGATCTGGGCAGCTTTCCTCTTGGCCAATCGCAAAAGCGGCCATGCCCTGGTAAGGTTTGGGCCTACCCAAACAGTACCTGTTTGGCTATATATCTTAGGGAATCAAAGTGGTTGGTGGACATGAACCGCAACCTAAATCACGTCCATTTGTTGGGCTTCGCCATGAATCTTCATCTACCCAGTGCGCGCAGACACTTTCCAATGCTTGGCGCCCCTTTCGCCCGGTCTTTCGAAGCCTTTCCGCGCCGAATCGTGCAAGAGCTTGGCCCGACAACAACAGGATCTCAAATCTGAATACCAATGTTCTACCTCGGCTTGATGAGTTCCCTGAACAAATAAAACAGTAGTAACATAAAGACCCGCAGAGAAAACGATTGCTAAGCAAATTGAAGTCTAGATTTGCTAGGCGGGGGACCTGATAAAAGCTGGGCCCGCCCGCTTTCAGGGCACGGGCCCGCCGAAGAACCTTACTAAGAGCCTCAAATCAAGGGGGGCATGGAAGGGGGGGGGCTGGCGGGAATAAAGCATGGTCCTCCCTCCAAAACACCATTTCGGGGCTGGGCCAAATTTGTCCCTTCAAAACATGGAACCTCTGTTGGACTCCATGTTCGGAGCTGGTGGGTCACTCCTTCCATGGCGCCATGGCCAAATCAGGGCCCCGGCCGGAGCCTTGGGCAACCCGGTGCCGCTGCAGGCCACGTCGGTGATTCCCCGCAGGCCCTGATTCAGGGCCCGAGGGAAAAAGCCTTGCACTGGGTCCGTGTCCGTTCTTTTCCCCGAGACCCTCGAAAATGCGACAGTCTCCGGATTTTACGTTTCGTGATTTGGAAGATCCAGGGTCCATGCTCCGGGCTTGGAGTCGGAGTCCAGCCCGGCGTTTCAAGGTCTCAAGAGTCTGAGGAAGAGGTTCTCATGCAGCCAGTGTCCAAGTTGATGATGGAAACTTTCAGCGGCCAAACATGGGCGCCGAAGTCTCGCCTCGGACATGCTGGGACTCATTTCTTGAAGGAGAAGCACCTACCACTATTTTATTTGTCCAACAGATTGGTGTAACCAGACCCTTTCGGGGTCCCAAAGAAACCTCAAGCATGCGTCGCAGCCGCGAGCCTTGGCTGCTGCGAATGGGAAGGCCGCCAGGATGAAGACGCGAGCGAACATGATGCTGACCAAATGCACACCACCACGCGTGAGGTTGAGCCAACTTGCTGCACAAAGGGGATTCGCACAGGGGGCCAGGAGGCTTGGCAAAACGCAAAGCAAATGCTGAAAGGCAAACTCGCGCCTGAAACGGCTCTCTCCCACAAATTATGAAGCGCAATACTGTGTCCCGGCCCGTGCCAGAGCATTGGCCAAAGACACTCCTGCATACCAACTTGTCCGTACCATCCATACCACACCGATTCGGCGGTCTGTTTTCACAAAGCTTGCCAGTCTCCACGCAAGAAAAAACAAGGTGGCTGAAGCAATGCCACAGCATCGGTATTCTTTCCAATAGATCAGACTGCAGCCTCAAGGCACATGACATTCCATCGAGACCGCCTGGCACCTACAGAATCCGAACCTTATGTTCAGGCACAAGTGAGAATCGCACTCTTTCAACAAATGCTCTCTCTCTCTCTCTCTCTGATTGGTAGGTATCAATACATTGATGGCTTTCGGCCCTGTTGATGTGCATGAGTGGATCTTTGTGAGGAGGAAAATTCCGCTTCCATTCATGTAAATCATCTCAATATTTGCGTATACATAAACATACATATGTAAACAAATATATACATATATATATATATATATTGTATATATGTAAAATAAATATATATATATATATGTATATATGCACACACACACCTCGCTGCCGCGTCTGTTTCTGTGGCTGACGCGAGGACCTCTGGACTCCTGACAAGTGCGCGAGAAAGCGCGAGGCTTGAGAAAGTAAAAGGAGGCCATCCATGGGGTCAACCCCTTAGAGGGCTGGTTGTGGTTTGACCCAGAAATCCTTTTTTGGGGTACCCCCATGACAGCATGTCTCCAAGACAGTGACTTCTCTTTCCACCAAAATGATCCTGACCTTTGTAGGCGCTGCATCTCTTTGTTCTTCGGTGCAAATGCTTGCGACGCTGGCCCACGTACATATTTAAATACTTGTTTGGCATTGGCAAACTGCTGGTGCCAATGCCGGGTGAATTAAGAGCAGGCCTGTCGTGCCTTCGGATGCCGATAAAGGCATCGCACGTCACATGCATTTGCCCCCCGAAACAATGACTTTGTCTGAACCAAAATGATCATGACTTGTGTAGGCGCTGCTGGGAAGGCCGGAGCGAGACCATCCTCCCTGGTGAAGCGGTGCACAAGCATGCCCAACGCCGACGCGTAGGCATCAACAGCATTGGCGAGGTGAGGGGACAAGTGGTCAACGCAAGGGCGAACCCACGACAAACCATGAATGGCGGTCCCGTAAATGGGATGCAGCTGAATGCGCTGGGCCCACCAGCGGCCAGCGCACCACCAGGTGCATTGAGAAGCCAAAATGGCTCGCAAGACCTGCGGGGCGGCCGAAGCCGGCGGCAAACTCACCAAAGGACGACACACAGGCATGATGAAGCCAGCGGCCAAACGTTCGCGGACATGAGCGGCACCCGGGATGGTGGCCAAACGCTGAATCATGCCAACAAGCGGACCCCAGCCATTGCGAGGAAGGATAGGGCAGTTCGCATCGAAAAGGGCCAAGGACAGCCCAAGGTGTTCAATGCGGCGATGCTCCCCTTCAATCCAAATCTGCCGCTTGTCGATGTTTTTTGAGTGAGACCGACGGCATTGTCGAACTCACGAGTGAACTGAAGCACATCGAGCAAGCCTTGACGCCCAGACGGGCCGGTGATAGCCAAAGTGCGATCATCAACGAAAGCGGTGCAGCTAGGACGAGGAGCAGAGCTCCAAGGAGCGAGCACGTACGCAGGCAACCGGATCACCTTGGAGGAGCCCGCGGTGGGAAAGATGGGCTCCGATGGGAGGCCAGACACCACACACACGCGACCGGCCTGCCAGACCGAAACCAGGCAACGACACACATCAGGGCGCAGGCCATGCCAGAGCAAAGCAGCTTCAGCAACGGAGTGGTCGAATCAAAAGCCTTGGCCAAGTCAATCTCAGCCACAGCGCTGGCCGGAGTGGTCAGGAAGGCAGCGGTGGCTGCAAGGACTGAGCCACCCTTGCAAGCCCACTGGCCCTGCGGAGCCGCAGGGAAAAGGGATGAGAGGATCGCCCGATGCCAGGCGCGCAAGAGACAAGAGCCGATGGATATGGGCCGAGACCCTGACCCACGCTTGGGCAAGCCAACAGTTTTCCAGGAACACGCAGCCTGCACGAAGGCAGAAGCTTCCGACCGCGTGGTGTCACACCAAAGCTGATAGAGCTCAGTGCGCAACTCAGGAAGGTGCTTCGGTAACGCCTTGAGCTCACAAGCTTCCCAACCATCAAAACCAGCAGAGCCAGAGGCGGAAGCCAGCGCAGAAGAGAAAGCATCAAAGGTGGGAACCGAAGCTTGGGGTTCGGCGCGGGCGTGGGCCCGCGCGGCCTCACGCCAGTGGGCGGCAGCCTCGGGAGCCGCATTAGCAGGGCACCAAATCGCCTGCCAATCATGCCGCATGCCGGAGGGGGCTGCCACACCTCCGAAGACCACTGCCGAAATTTGGCCCGCCAAGCAGCAGCACGCGCAGCAGCTGCCTGACGACAAAGGCTGGTGATGGCACGATCAATGGCATCAAGGGCAATGCCAATGGAAAGAGCGCCAGGCTGCAGGGACAGAATGCTATCCTGCTCAGCCCTGCAGAGGGCCGACCAGTCCGACAACCCAACCGGGCTGGAGCCAGCCAACGGATCGCGGCGGAAACGCTCAGACAAGCGACGATGCAGGCGCCGCAGCCGACGCAGAGCAACGGGCTCGGCAGCATGATGACGCGCGGGAGGCTGCGAGGGCCTGAGTGAAGGATTTGACCCCTTAGGCCGCTCGGACGGACGAGAAATGACCGCGAGACCTTGGGGCGCCGCCTCGCGAAAAGAAAGCTCAGCACGGAGATGCCAACGCGCCCACCGCTCCGGGAGAGACGCGTTGGAAGGTAGCTCAGGCCAACGAGTGTCAATAAGCTGCCACCCGGGGGACTGTGTAGACAAAGCATCAGGGCTGACCCACTTGAAGGATGCACACCGACGAAAGCGGGCAGGAGAAGGACACTCAACGCCGGGAAGGGGCAAAGAGAAAAGCACCGCAGCATGATGGGGAATGCCAGGCAGGAAGTTGGTACGCGAAACAGAGGCTTTACAATGGCGCGAGTGCATGGAAAAGGGTCAGAGACAACCCAGCCGTGACGGCACACCAAGTCGGTAGCAGGCCGCCAATGGAAATCGCCAACGAGGAAGAAGGGCAGGTGCGACGCGGACACACAAGACAAGATGTGACCCAGCCAAGGTAGGTGGGGACCATCTTGAGCATGCCCGTACATGGAACAAATGGTGAAGGCAGAAGCGCGCACGCCCACATGACGATGGTCGTCCTCGGAGCGGGTTGAATCAAGAAAAGAAACCGGTGAGGCGCGTCCAAAGCAGGGACGCCAAAAAATAGCAGTGCCGCCTTGCCGCGCACTAAGCGCGGAGATAGCCGAATGCCAGCCATAGTTGTGAGCATGACGGCGAATCCACAAGGAGTTAGCATGGTGCCTAGTTTCCTGCAAGCAGACCACCAGCGCCGAAACAGCCGCAGCATGCGCCAGGACAACCTCAAGACGGGCAGCGGTTAAGGATGTCACATTCAAGTTCAGAACAGACAACGGGGGAGGAGCACAAGAGGAAAAGATCCCGGCTGCACCACCAAGGAGGGGATCTAGTCACGAGCCCCGGCAGCGGGGGTGCTTCGCACGAGACCGAGCTTGAGCGGCCAAATTGCGAGCTCGGCACTCAGGGTCTGAGGCCCGCCGAGCCTTTTTCTTAGCCTTGATGTCGGCCCGGGCGTTTCGCTTGGCATCGCCGTTCTTCACAGACTTAACCATGCGGTCAGCGACAGCGGAGCCACGGGTTGCCGCAACGAACCCGCCGGGAGATCTTACCCGCAGAAGTTTTGGCACAGGGCCGAAAGAAGAGATTGAAGGGTTTCTTCCACGCTCCGCAGCGCTTGCAAACATAAGTCACGTATGTCTTACGCTTGCCGGCCTTTTGAGGCACATCAAAGTTTGGTACGCAAAGGGAAGCAGCCACCGTAGGATTGGCAACGGAAAACTTAGCCAGCCAACTCTGGTAGTTGGAGATGGTTTTCAGGCGCTGGGCCTCAGGGGAGGCACTGTGTGACCGAGCGGCTGGGTACCACCGCTTGTGACCGGGTGGGGCACTCGGGGCGTTCCGGCCCTGACACTGACGCCAGTGCCGCTGACCGGCTTCGAAAGCCCTAACATGGGGAGGGGTCCAGCCGCAAGGACAGCGAAAGTACAAGCGAGGAGGGTTGTCGGCAGCTTTTTGGCGCAGGAGCAGACCAACGTCAAAGGCTGGGGGACGGGGGACTTTGCGCTGGAGCCGAAAGCGCGCCAAAGGGTTAGCAGAGCCTCCACAGGATCCAGAAGACGAAACAGCAGAGTTCAACCCCAACAAGGACAGGGCCGCGCGGTCGACGGAGGGCACCAGGGCGGAGGAAGAAGCAACATCATCAGACAAACCCAGAAGGTCCAAAGCCTCTAGGTCGAGGGAGTCGCCGCTCAACGGTGGGCTGAAAGATGGCTGTCCGCAGCCACTCCTGGGCGGTAGACTCCGTGAGCTCAGGCTTTGGCAGCAGAACTTGGTAATGATTGTCCAAGAGGTACAGCCATACCACCTGAGCGCTCTTGGCTTTCTTCTTGCCGCGAGCCATTCGCAGCGGAGTGCGCAAAGATACGGAACTCAGTGTTGGTGACCTGGGCCAAAGCGCGAACGGCAGCAGAGCCAGCCCTAGCAGAGGCAAGGGAAAGCGCTTCGGCCTCAGTGACCGCATAGTCCGACAAATGATCAGCCAGCTCTTTGGAAGCAAGGAGGCGCAGCTGCGCCTGCAGGCGACCTCCAGCGGCAAGATCCTGCTTAGAGGCGCGGTCAAGTTTGCCAGCATTGAAGGCACGGGCCATAGCCGCAGCAATGTAGAAGCAGTCTCCTTTCCCATCGTTATCCCGCCTGTCAAAAAACGGGCACGTTTAGACTCCGGACCAGAAGGGGACAAGTCACGCTTAATAGCGTTCTGTACGGATTCGCCGTCAGGGTCCACGACCATTTGGGCGTCGGAAACAGAAGCATCAAGAGCAGCAGAACCGGGAGAAGGGCACTCCGTAAGAGCAGAAGATTTCGCAACTTGCAAGCGGCAATGAGCCGGTGCAGCGTGATTGGACTTCACAGAGGCCTCCAAGGCTCCCCAGGATGAGCGTGGCCGGGCAGAAGGAGCCGAAACAAATTCACTGAGATGCCGCTGGCAAAAGCCATGGTGACGCCAGAATCAACCGACAAGGAGGGAGGAGGTCTGGCCAGCATGAACCAAGCCTTGCGGCCCTGCCGCTTGATTGCGGAGACGTCCAGAAAGCCACGCTCAGACGCCCAAGCACGGAAGTCATCCTCCGACCAAAGAGGAGGAACACCGGTGACAAACCATCGCAGCGGAAGACATGGAACCGCCAACGATGCCCAGCGCGGCAGTGCAGCCAGGACGATAAACCAGTCTGCCCTTTGCCTCCTGAGGTGATGTCAGGAGATGGCGCCCGGGCCAAGTCTCCGCATTCATGGGCCCTTGCCTTGCGCGCCTCCGCACACTTCGCTTCGAAGGCAGAGACACGGGCCTGCAGATGCTGCTCAACATAGACTACTTCGTCAGAGTCTGGAGTAGGTTCAATGCGAGCAGGAAGGCTTGCAGCTCTCTTTTCTGACGAAGTGCGCAACTTCGCCGTGATGAAGGTGCCTTCCAAGCGGAAGTACATTACCCTAAGCTGCAAGGAATTGCTCTCTCTCAATCCCCTGCTTGCCTTGAGCCGCTGCGCCCAGTCGATTTTTGTAACAACCACTGCCACTTAAATCATAATAAAAACCTGGCACCAACACGATAAACCCAAAACCCAACACCATAAACCAAAACGGCAACTATTTCCGGTTGGGACTGCCCCTTACTAACCTTCATCTACCCGGGTTTTGATTGTGACTCATTTGCGAGTCCCGGCGCATCCTCCAACGCGACCATGTCCAATTCACAAACGTTCGAACGACCTGCTCACATCGCCTGTCTAAGGCACGGATTCGAGACTGCGTCCTGCAGCTGGAGCTGTCTGGACCAGCCTGAGGCATCTCAAAGGAAAAGAACTCACGACCCTGGCAATAGTGTCACAGTGTCCGTGGCTCATTTAAAATCACATACAATATTTCACTATATAGTATGTATATACAAATATATTATTTGTATAAACTTAATGGGGGGCATTAGAAGATTAGATCTATTCATTGCAAAAGTGGGTGGGGTCTTGGCCGAGTGAGGCTGTTGCCGGATCCGAGACCGGCAACGGCGCTTTAGCGGTTCTCAAAACGCCGTCCTCTCAAGATCGGTGAAAACAGATGCGTCAAACTCCCAAGGTTTTAGCTCATGCAAACGCGGCTTGAGTCCAGTCATTGCCTTGCAAGCTGGTTGCGGCTGCTTCACATGCCTAGATCCACAGTTCGCTAATTGACCCCCCAGCCCAAATTTGTAAACCGCCAATATCGTCACAAGCATTTCTGTCTTATGATCTATCATGACTTGTTTGTTCATATCCCATCCAATTCTGATGGTTTAGCCACTTTGATCCCTCACTTGATGTGCAATTTATACGCAGAAAACAAGTCAGCCAGCGTGGTTCAATGGCTCTCAGCTCCCTTCATCCTCTGGGTTTCAATCCGACCTTAAGGGCCAAGGCTTCAGACACGTTGGACACCTGGACAAATACCAGCTCATTCAAGCCTACCAGCACCCTCTCTCACTCCTTCTCTCTCCTTCTCTCTCTCTTTTTCGAGAAATCCACATGACCAAAGCGGCCGAAAGGACCACTTCGAAGTCACCCCGCAGCGCCCGGGGCCCCGCTCGTCTCTTTGCGAGCGAAGGCAAAAAGAAAAAAATATCCGCTCTAGCCGGGCCTGTGGACCAACCCTCGTCACGGGAAACCGAATCCTGGCCATGGGGTCGAAGGCCAAAAATTGCGTAACGTGCACCTCCGATTCACTCCAACCACGAAAAGTTAAGTTCTAAAATGGGGTGGTGAATTAATTCACCTACCCCAAAGTTTGGGATCCCGTTGGTGACCCAGTGCCACCTATCCTCTGACCTGACCGGTGGCTTCCTCTGGTCGGTTACAATCTGGCATCCGTCACGCGGAGCCGTCAAGAGTCGTTAAACAATACATGTCCAGGAGACATCCGATTTACGATTCGGATGCTCATCAGCTGGTAGTGTGACACTGTGATCTTTCTGGCCCAACCATATGAGCTCATATATGTATCCTTCAAGATGTCTGTCCTTGAACATTTCACCGGCCCATGTATGCTTGGGCTCAATCCAAACTCAGCGCTCGGACCTCACCGCTGGGCTTCCCCGGGGAAGAACTGGAAGCTCACCATGAAGGCGTCCCCGGTGCTGTAAGCGTTGGACCGAATCTGGGTGATCTGCCGGAACTTGTACAGCCCGCACACGAAGGCCCCAGAGTTGAAATACCCGTGGCTATTGTCCGTGCCGGCCCACACCTGGCAGAAAAAGACGAAAAACCGGGGAGTCTCCGTCCACGGCGGGGGAAAAAAAAAAACGCGGATCGACTTGCTTTTTGAGAATAAGAATAAAACAGAGACACTGGGGATTCTCATTCATGGTTTGTTGCTAGATCAGTACTGTCTTCCCGTGGGGCCAAGATGGGCACCCAATCTTGTGGCTGTTCTGATAAGTTTCCTTCCAACCAAGAAAAGACTTAAGAAGACATTTGCAAGCTCAACAGGTCGAACTCCAGTTGGGTTCTCGGATTCCCATACGTGGATTAATTTTGGGTGGTTACCTTGGTGAGGTTCTTGATCTCGAAGCTAATCCAGGATTGGAGCCTGCCGCTGCGATAGCCCAGGTGTAGACCACACCTGGGTCGAGCGGTGAGCGGCGTCCCGTCGGCACCCGAAGCTTGGCACTGGTTGGATTTGAAACAGGTAACTTCCCGACAAAAGTCGCAAGAGAAAACCACGCCGCAATATTCCCCCATTTGCCTTAGTCCCCTGGAAAATGTTGTAGTTTCAGTAGCGATAGATTCCAAATATAGAAGGACGCATATTTTGAAGCAAATAAGAGTAATTGGTGTCTAGGACACTGATCATAGGGCAAGCTCATCAGTAAAGTCGTGTCGCCTCCCGTGGATGTCTCGGGCAGCCGCAGGACTCGGACAGCTTTTCTGCTGGAGTAGAAGGTCAATTGGTCCAGCTGGGCCGCCTTCCGTACCTCTCAGAAGGCATATTTCTGTGGGCGAAGACGTGGAAAAACCAGCGGCGCCCGATGTAGAAGTTGGTGTTAAAAGCGTTCCCTCTGCCCAGCACAAACATGTGCACTTCCATGGATAACATGGATAACAATGGCAACCGATCTAGACAAAGTTGGTTGTAAAGGGCTTCACCCTTGGCAAAACAAGATGTGGATGTCCATAGGGAAAAGTAAAACAAAATGTGTCGCCGGCGCTGGACAAAGTTGGTTTAAAGGGGTTCCTCCTGGCCAAAACAAGAAACTGGATTTCCATGAAACAAACAAACATGGCGCCCGCTTTGGAAGTTGGTTTTAACGGTGTGCCTCCTGCCCAAAACAAACCAACTCGATGTTCATGGAAAAAAGAAACAACATCGGTGCCCGCTTTAGAAGTTGGTTCTAAGTTTTAAAAAGGTTCCCTCCACTCAAAACCAAAAAAGTGGATTTCAGGGCTCCCCCTGCCCAAAACAAAAGTGTGGAGTACTATGGAACAAAAACCAATGGCGCCCGCTTTAAAAGAAGCTAGTTTTCAAAGGGTTCCTCCTGCCCATAACAAACACATGAATTCTATGGCCAAATAACAAAAATGCGCCGCTTTTGAAGAAGTTGGTTGTTTAACCATGTTCCCCCTGCCAAACATAAACATGTGAATTTCCACGGGAAAAGAAACAAACAACAACAAGCCTTGCGCTGCACAGTAGAAGAAGTTGGCTTTAGCAAAGCTTCCTCTCCCCAAAGCAAAATACTATTTCTATGAAGGAAAAAACGGCGCCGCGTTAAAATAAGTAGCTGCCAAAAAGGGTTCACCATGCCCAAAACCAAAACAACTAAACAAAATCCACGAAAAAAAGAAGAAACAACAAAAGGAATGGCTCTAAAGCGGTTGATTTTCACATGATTTCTCGCTGCCCAAAACAAAACAAACCAAAAAGGCGGAAGGGAATGCACCGAATCCAGACTCGCCCAGCGCAGGAATTCCGTGTGCGGGATCTCCTTGTTGGGGTAAGCCATGCGGTTCTGGTTCTGTTCCTCACACGGAGCCCCCAAGGAAAAATCCCCAGTTTCCCCTCATCGGCTACCTGAAAAAATGCGGCAAACGCTCAGGTTTACTCAGGCAAGACTTGAAACGGCGTGTAGCTTGCTCTTCCAAATACTTACCCCTTAAAACTCCAAGCCCTGGGGAAGTTAATCTTTTACAGACATATAGCCCATGTTACCCCAAAAATTGAAAAGTTGTGTTTTTAAGAGGTAAGAATATCTTCAGGTTTCCTGCAACATTGATGGCTTGGATTGGTTGGGGATTGAACCCTTGCATCTTAGTGGGAAACCCATCCTTGACCAAAGCACCAATCCAAACAATGCGGGAAGCGGACAAAAAGCAAACGCCCCCCCCACCTCCCAGAAAAAAAATGATGCCCCCTCCTCAAAAATGTTGAACCTTCCTTCCCAGACAAAAATACGGATCCCCATACCAAAAAAAGGACGAGCACAAAAAACAGCCCCCCCCCCCCCCACTCATAAACCCCACACACACACACACACAGCACAAAAAAAGAAATCCCTGGGGAGGAACAAAAAAAAGCCCCGCTTGTTCTGCCAGGGTCTAAAGATCACAATGGGCATGATTGTGTTTGTTACCGGGGACCCTTGCAACTTAGGGACCCAGACATCCCGTTTTCAACAACATGGGACCCAGACATCGAAAGGTGAGATCACCTTCGAACGGGGACGCCAGGTGAAAAGGAAAAAAAATCGCCCAAGGGGCCATTGGCACCCCGCAAATGCAACCTAAGCAAGACGCCTAGCTCGCTAGCAAGCACAAACCCCATAGGGACGTAACGGGAAAGTTTCGAGAAAGCCGGGCGTCCGTCATCTGCGCGTCCCCGTTGATCCAAGCGGAGAAGGGGCCCAGGCTCAGGACCTTGGGCAGCACCTTGCCGTGCCGCAGCGGCTGAAGCTCTTCACCAGGGATGAGCTGATGCAAACCGGTGAACATCTTCAAAATGGGCACCATCTCACTGAACTTCACCCTCCTCAGACGTTCAACAGGGAGAAGAAAAAAAGGTGGCGGGAAAAAAGCCTGCCTTGGCTTGTGGTATGTCTGCGCATCCGTACTCAAAGTCCCTTGACGGAATGGCAACCACCTCCAGAGGACTAGTGATAGAGGCGGACTTCTGTAGGAATGACTCGAAGAATTGCAACTTCCACCGCAACCCCTCGTTCATTACATATGTGTGCCCGCACCCCTTGACTTTGGGTTCCATCCTTGTAAAACCAGGTAGGTCATTCTAACCACCTAATCGCATGTTGTTGTTTCTGTTTTAACGAAACATAGAATGACCACCTGCTCACACGTCTTGTTCTTTTCTGTTTCAACCAACAAAATCCTCAGCCAACTGGTGGTTTGGGCGTGACAGAAATCGCTGTCCTGAAGTGCATCTTCTTCAAGGTTCCGCAGCCTTGGAGCGTCAACGTACCATCGGGCCACCTGGCACTTGATGTTGTCGAAGTCCTGGTCGTACTCCGGGCGCACGTCGTCTTCCAACTTGAAGGCGCTGCAACGTTCCCCAACCCGCCGCCGCATTGAGGTATAGCTCTCGTCCTTGATGTCGATGCTATCCCACCTTGCTTTTTTCTCAGAGTACCCCCGTTGAGGCCTGTCTTTCTCATACCCCCTTTGAGCTTTCGAAGGGAAACCAAAAGGTCCAAACCATTTTGCCACACGTATCCCACCTTGTTTTTTCTCAGGGTACCCCTTTTGAGCTTTTCTGAGGGAAACCCAAAGGATACCAACCATTCAAGGCGTTCCAAGCCATTTTGCCACAAGCCTCCAAGAAGACCATTCCGGCACCATGCTGGCCAGGTCCTCCTCGATCCTCTCGTAGTGCTCCTTCATTCTTTCCAAAGCCTGGATCGTGTCCACATCCAATTTAAACCCCCAAAAGCGACCGCTGGGGTTTCCGGGTTTCCCAACCCAACCCCCACTAGTGCACCTTCCGCTCAAATGCCTGGCTCGCGAATCCAAAGGAGAACCCTCCTCCATTTGCTTAAGGCCCATGGAAAACATGCGAGACAACATGTCCAGCAAATCACTGCCTAATTGTTTCCCCGTTTCCATTTGCTCAAAATACTCTCTTGAAAACCACCTGGATGTGTTTGTTCAAACCCAGAGGTGGATTCCCTTTTCAAAAACCACGAGCTAGAACAACAATTCAGACGTGCCTCTTTGGTACTCGGAAAGAGGCTGGACGAGGTATTCGTCTTATTCTTGTAGTAGGCTGCCGCATCGTAGCGCTCACGCCAAAGGCTCAGCTTGATAGTGGCGGCCATCCTTTGAGGCTTTGGAATCGGACCAAATACGTCCGAGTAGCTTTTTTCTAGCTTGGCACCCCGGTTTTTAGCTTGGCGGTTTTTCCATAAAGCCGAATATGGGCGTGTTCTTCTAAGCCGGGCGCCAAGGGAACCAGAGGAAGACCGAGATCCCGTGGTTTGGGGCTCCGAGTCTGAGAATAAGACACGCCCAAATCATGGCCGGCCGGGTGTCCTTCTACCATCCCTGTATAGGATGGTGGCCGAAAAAAGGGCATGCCTTTGGTGGGACAAAGTGCTTCACCTGCAAAAAGTTCTGAACTTGCCGGTGGGAGAACACACAACTGCCCAGGCAAGTGTAAGCACAAACAAACAAACAAACAAACAAACAAGCAAGCAAGAAAGCAAGCAAGCAAGCAAGCAAGCAAATAAATAAATAAATACTCACTAGCATAGAAACAAAGAAACAAACAAACCAACAAACCATCCAACAAACAAACAAACAAACAAACAAACAAACAAGCAAACAAACGACCGCTAACTAGCGCAGAAACAGAAAACAAAAACCCACAAGCAAACCAAAAAGACAAACAAACAAACAAACAAACAAACAAACAAACAAACAAACAAACAAGCATAGAATCAAAGAAAACACAAACAAACAAACAAACAAACAAACAAACAAACAAACACACCACAAAGAAACGAACAAACAAACAAACAAACAAACAAACAAACAAACAAACAAACAAACAAACAAACAACCACTGCCTAGCATAGAAACAAAGAAAACACCAACAAACAAAGAAACAAACAAACAACCAAAAAACAAACAAACAAACAACAAATATATCTATCAAACAAATAAGCACGGGAAACACAACCAACCAACCAACCAACCAAACAAACAAACAAACACTAACTAGAATGGAAATAAAGAGAACACAGACAAACAAACAAACAAACAAACAAACAAAGAAACAAAGAAACAAAGAACCACTAACTAGCATAGAAACAAAGCACCAAACAAACAAACAAACAAACAAACAAACAAACAAACAAACAAACAAACAAACAACCACTAACTAGCGTAGAAAGAGAACGCGCAAACAAACAAACGAACAAACAATAAAACAAGCAAACAAACACTAACTAGCATAGAAACAAAGAAAATACCAACAACCAAACAAACCAAACAACAAAAACATAAACAAACACTAACTAGCATAGACACAAAGAAAACACAAACAAACAAACTAATTAACAATCAAACAAGCAAACAAACACTAAGTAGCATATAAACAAAACAAACACAAACAAACAAACAAACCAAACAACAAACACACAAGCAAACACTAACTAGCATAGAAACAAAGACACCACAAACAAACAAACAAACAAACAAACAAACAAACAAACAAACACGCAAACACACAAACACACAAACAAAAACACACAGCCAAGCATCACATAGTCAGACATGAGCCGGCCTCTGTAGCTGCTAGCGTTCACCAGGCTCAGGGCGCCCTCGCCTTGCGAAAAACAAAAAAAAACATCGGCGCTCTCGAAATCGTTGGAAGACCCTGCCCAGGCGAAGGAAGGGCGAAGCGGCGAAGGAAGGTCCGTTTGCCTGTGAGAAAATTGGACCCCAAAGAGGAATCCTTCACGAGAGGGGCTCGATCCATTTTCCGGAAGAGGTGGCAAACAAACCAGCCCGGCTTGAAAAGGGTTGCCTTTTTTGAAAGGGCTTGCCTTCCACTTGACAGGGACTGTCCCTTCCACAAAGCACTTTCATGGAAAACCCAAAGCACACTACCTGGAGCAGAGCAACACAAAAATCGAGAAATACCCATGGTCGATACCCGGAATATTTGTTCTTGCCACTGGGTCACTGCCCGAGCACAGGGTCACCAAAGTGTTGTCGCACTTCTCGATCTGCCGCTCCAAAGCTGCCGTCGTCTTCTCCTCCACGTGGCTCTTGCACTGCTTGTAGGACTTGAAGCCTTCGTTGGGTTGCTCGTCGTTGAAATTTGACCCCAGATGTTCACCAGTTTATTACCGGGTTACCGGCCATTTCTGGGTGAACTGTGGCTGGAATCGGATCAACTTTTGGAGGGCCCCCACCCATCATTAAACTGGGGTTAATTAATAAGGGGTCAAAATTGTGGGGGTCTATCCCGAAAGCCTAGGATACGCCAAGCGAAATCTGTGACAGACCAAGCACTCACAAGTCTCCTCCTAAAACCAACGAATTTGGGTATGTCTTGTTTCTGACCACTGACGGTTTGCTGGTGGGTTCCCGTCCAATTACAAACGACAAGGGGGCAACGGGCAACCCTCAAAAAGGGACACCCTGTTCTTTAAGAATGCCGGGTTTCAGTTGGTTTCCTGAAAACAAAAAACACAAAGGGTTCCACGCTACAAAACAGTTGTTTGTCCTCAAAATGGTGTTTTTCTGTAGGTGTCTCGTTAAACCACCAAATCAAGGGGGCAACCCTAACAGAACACTGTTCCCACAAGACTGCGCATCCTTTCCACGAAAATCATTGCTGTCCTTGCAATTTCCCCTTCAAACCACTGCAAAACCAAGGCGTACCCCCAACAAAGGAACAATATCCTACTCTTCACAACAACAAACATTTATAGGGAGGTCAACCTCCCCCGTAGGGGAAATGCAAAGGGGGCTCAAGAACATGAGCACGAGTTCCATAACAAGCTTGGCCCGCCTCCAAAAGATATGCATTTTTTCCACACAAAAATGACCACGACACCACTCAAAAATGTCGGCTCCGCTTTTTGTGGGCTCTTGTTTTTTCTGCTTCCCCTGAAGAAATCCACGCCAAGTGCCCAAGTGGTGGTGGAAACCGGTGGTTTGGTGTCCCACTTAGTCTCCAAGCCAGCTCAAATCCAGGTCCAGGGCTCCAAACCCACTGGGCTCGGTCTGACGGTCGGACGGTCTGACGGCTCTGGTCCCCCCCCACCCCGGCCGACGGTGGCCTTGGCGCATGGCTTGGAACTTCCCCTGCATCTGCTCGTGCAAGGTCTTGGTGATGGCGGAGCCCACCTAGGCGAAACCCAACGGGGGATTTCGCCTAAGGCGGTTGTTAGGAAAACCAACCACCTAAATCTGTGGTTTCCTCATGAGTGTTTTGCTTTACAAACTACGAAACAGGGATCCCCCACGAAAAAACACACACACACACAAATATTTTCAGCTTCATGGAAACACCCGGGCCCAAAAGTCCTCTTCCGATTTGTGTTCGATTCGTTGGATTCAGCCATGCGCCATGCCACATATCTGGTGGTCCACTTCTGAATGGCCTCGATCAGTGCTTTGTCATGGTCGCCCTTCTCCCCCCAGAAGGCATTGACCAAGAGGCTGAACAATGGCCTGACTGATCTTGTCTGGAGAACTTCCAAACATGGCAAAAGTTTGCTGCCGTTTCAAAGACAACCATGAAACACGTTTAGTTTCAACTCACGCCCGCGGATTGGCCCAACAGAATCACCAAGCGTTCTGATGGTGCAATAGGCCAAAGAATCGAAACCCACTCGGGAAGTGGTTGCGTGTCATTCAAACCCGTCACAGCTCGGAGTTTGAACAAACTCGCTACCATTCCCCCCCATTGTTTTCATTGTTATCATTATTCTCTCATGGTTCTTATTGGTTCGCAACCGAATGGCCCGACATAGGGAATCAGGCTTATCGCATACGACACAAAGGACTTGAGATAGCCCATGCCCTCGTTGAAGACCGCGATCTCGTCGTAGGACTCCATGAATAGGTCGTAGGCCCCGGAGTTGGACATGCGCCGACGACGATGCCCGTTGCTCTGGTGTCGGCGGCGATGGGCGCTTTTGGCCGCATCTCAGCGTTCGGTTCTTTGCGAATGATCTTGAGAGGTGCCTCTTTCCCAAAAAACTCGTCGAACGAAACAATCGCTGGGGTTCTCTTTCCCAGGCAAAACAAGTGAGTAGTCCAAACCCAGCGGCCGAATAAATCACATTCGTTGCGGAGCTGTCGGTATGAGAGGTTCCTTTCGTTGGATTTTGATGAGGCAACCGAGTTTGCCCCTTTTGCGCGTTAAGAATTGGTTTGACAAATCTGTCTTCGGTTTCGCACACACCAAACAATTGGCCTCTTGCGACCCTTTCGCAATAGTGGTTTTGAGAGCAGGATGCTCTGCGAAGGATTTGAAGATACTTACACGAGCGTCTCCACGTTTACTCAAAAGCACGAAGTTTCTCAGCAAGATATGAATAAAAAACCTTTCGCGAACGCGTTCGCAATGGGAAAAAGCAACACGTGGCAAACAATATTTCCACAGATAGACCATCAAAATTGCAAAGGTTTGGAACGGTCGCAGTACATGGCATCTTGCCGCGGCACCGTCCTCAAGCTCGACCCGGGCTCTGGTCGCCAACAGGCACGCCTCCTCGCTCTCGGCGCATTGGCCCAAAGCTTGCGAAGCGAGTCCACACAGACATGCGCAGAGCAGGCCGCGCATCGCTAAAGCGTGGCTTGAGATCTCAATTTTGGTAGCCTCATGTGGACCTTGTCCAAATGAGCCAAATCAGTTGCCGGCCTTCACCCAGACCCCCAAGCCAATGTTCAAGAAGGAGCACAAAAGCGAACGCAAACATCAAGGTTCGGAAATCCTCCAATCGATTGCACGAAGCACCGGAGAACAATACCGTCCAAATGAGCCGACATCTTCTCGACTCTCGGGCGCCTCACCGTTCAAGAGGCCCTTGACTCAGCTGGCAACATGACCACCGCCTCAGGAGCAAGGAGAAGAGCTGCGGCCTTCCTCTCAGAGTCTGCTTGCACACTTGTTACATGGACAGAGTATCTAGGTCCTCCAGTAGAGAGGCTAGAATAAGGGTACCGTCTCTTTTTTTCTGTAGTCTACTTTAGTAGGGGAACCCTCCCCCCAAAAAAGGGTAAAAAGGCACTACTGGGGGACCTAGGTATCATGGAAAGTTCTCAAAATCGGACTCCTTTTGGCTGGCATTCCAACCGACCCCTATTCTGAGAAACACCAGCCTGCGGCCCAAATCCCGTGGAAACGGTGCCATGAATGGGTAGCTTTCTAACGGTCGCCTTCAACAGGAGCTAAACAACAGCCTGGAAGATGCAAACAACCTCCAGATCATCTTCATAACTCTGAAATGTGAGTAGCACCAATGCTTCACAAGCGACTATAGGAGTAACTTGGTAACCCAATTGTCTTGGATCTGGGTGGTTCAGCTTGGTTTGTGTCCAAGTGGGTCGACAAAAGGGGACAAGAACTGCTCGCTCTGCAACCTAAGTGACATGAACAACACTAAGTGGGATCATTCGTCAAATGACTAGAACAACATGAAGCTCCTTCCATTCAAGCAATGGCCTACACAGGACTTGCTACGCAAAAAAACTCGGGCGAAGGCCGAGCCGACCGTACATGGAGCGAGAGGAAGACATGCGTGAGGATAACCGTCTACCCCGCCTTCCACCAACTACACCCATGCAAATTAATCTGCAGTCAAATGTGCAACATGTTTGGAGGTCAATTTGCAAGAGTGTTTCCACCCCCGAAGCCAAGTTAAAAGACAAAATGTGGACCCCAGATGCATCAACGGTGGGGTGCGCTTGGAATCAGACCCCTCTTGACCCCCTGAACGCAGTTCGCATCCTGACACATCCACTTGCCCAGTTGAAATGTGTGAAATTCGCGTGGATGTACCGTGATGTGTAATCTACTAATCAAATGGGTAATCAAATCCAAAATCAAATGGGTAGCTAAATGCATGTAATCAAATCTGAATGCTGTGCATGCATGTCATGTGTTTTTTGCAGTGACCGGCTCAGCAAAAGGGCTTCGGGCATGTGGATATGCCGCTGGTCTCCATGCCGAGCCCTTGAAGCATCCAATCCCGACACGTCAAACGACAAACACATCATGCCTTGCGCTGCTTTTGGCATGTGGCTAAGCCAAAGCCCTTTGTTTTTGGTAGCGGTCTTTAGTTGGTATTCCCAAAAGGTTGAACCCAGCCAGAGCTTCCCGATTCCCTTCCCCGAGGTTCCGGGGGGCAAGCAAACCCTTCTTTTGCATCTACAAATCGCATTTGGCTAGCCTCCCTGTCTACCCCTCCAGTCGCAAAGCAGAAAATCGGGGAGGGGTGAGACACTGTGTACAATGTTCACCTGGATTCATATCCTTCCGGCAGGACGCCGGACGCTGGTCACAGCGCGGGAAATTGCGCGAATGGCGGCGCAAGGCATTCAAGATTCAGCTGCGCCCAAGACCCCTTTGACTTTCGGCTATAACAAGATAGCTTTGACGTAGGTGAACTATAGTATTTCGCCATACTTCGCCAACCTAGCACTAAGGAACAAACCTTTATCAAGGGGGCCCAACGCGCTTACGCCCCGAAGAACTTGCTCAGGACCTGCGCGTGGTAGGCAAATGAGCGAGACCGCTGGTAAGCGTTTGGTCAGTCCCCGAGAGTCCCTCCCAAATCAACCATGGTCTCCCCTGCAGATTAACGTAAAACCATCTCCTTTGAAAAAAAATCCCCCATCCCAGGTTCCAGGTCAACTTGCAGGAGAGCATTGATCAAAGTTCCCTTCGGATGGATCAAAGTTCCCTTCGGCTCCAAGAATGTCCCAATGGACCAAATGTCCCATGTGGTTAAAACTAATCGTTCTGGCAGCTTCCCGAATCACCCCATGCTTAGCAGACCTTTTCATCAACCCTATCCAGTTTCCCGGGTGTGGGACCAGTTTTAGTTTTTGTGCCCAGCTTCACTTTGGTTTCGCCCCCGCATGGCGCAAGCTGACAGCCTCGTAGGCCTCAGCAACCTCCCGGAACATCTGGGCGGCTTCTTCCGCCTGGCGCGATCTGGGCTCGACACCACGTGTTTCGCCGCTTCAAATTAAACGGACCGTGGCCAGGTCTGAAAGCAAAGCGAAAAGCATGAGATCAAAGCAAGATCGCATAGTTAATGCGGAATCGCTGAAAGGACACCAACAAGCTGCTCAAAGTCTAAAAACGGCTTGAACGCTTTGGAACTCGCATGGCCCGAGATCAAGTTGCACCCAAAAGACTCAAAGGAAACAATTCATTCCCCCCCTGATCACGGAGCCTCAAAACACCAGCAGTTTTGGAGGGGTCCTCTTTTCGAGGTACCCCCCTTTGCGCTCCATCTTGATTTGTAAAGCAAAGACACCGATCTAAGGTGCACCACCGAGGCGGCGGCTTTCTCGGGTTCTTGTCCTCAATCGCAACTGCAATCGCACCGACTGAAAAAACTCAACGGTTGAGGTGTGTGTGTGTGTGTGTGTGTATTTTCCCCCAGATAGCTGAAAGCTATAGTGGTTCTAACTTCTAACGCAGAGGGAAAAGTGATTTGCGAGGTTGATTGTGGGGTTGATGGCTGGGTGCTAGGGGGTGTGCAGTTTGGGGTGTTGGGGGTGCTGGTGGCGGTGCGGGTGCTGCTCTGGGCGCTGTTTGAGGTGGTGGCGACGGCGCGGGCGCTTTTTTGCGCCGGGGCGCGAATTTTTGCGGGATGGGCGGCCGGGCTGTTTGGGGTACTGTTCGGGGTGTTGGATGCTGGGTGACGGAGGCGCGTGTTTGTAAGATTGACGGTAGGGGGCATGCAGTGTGGGGTGCTGCAGGTGCAGTTCTTCGGCATCTGGGTCTGGTCTGGAACTTGGTGGCCTGGAACTTGGGGGTGGTTTCCCAATTTGCCAAGAGCCAGGGGTTCAAACCCAAAGTCCTTGAGTCCCTCGAGAAAGATTTCCAAAAATAAAATAACTTGGTGGACCTGGAAGTGCAGCTTGATCAGGTGATGCTACATGGAACAAGATGTCATGCGAAAATGGCTCGCCCTTCTCTCCATGTGTTGGGGCCAAAGGATCTGCGAGGATCTGCATTCCCTCTGGTAGGGTTTGAGGCCGATTCAATCGGCCCTTGAAACGACATGACCGTGGACAAACCATGGACCATCCGTGGAAAGACCATAAATAGGCATAAAACTGCATGGACAATCTAGCATAGTATGCGATCAAACTTGTGCTTCGTGTGCTGGGCTGGTTGTGAGCTACGCGCAGTGTTTTTTTCCCGATTTGTTCCCATGCGTTTGACACTCCTTTGATACAGTGTTGAGGGCGCACATTGTATTTCTTCCTCGGCCGAATGTGCCAAGGTCTCGCTAAAGAAAGTAAATGCGCTTATGCGCGCAGCAATGCTATCTACTTCAGGCAGTCAAACTGCAACTTTGAGCATTGGCGAGTTTAGCCAGTTGGATGAAACATATTGCCCAGTGTATCCCCAGAGCAAAATATTGGCATGCAGGCTTCCGAAGTAGAATTGTGATCAGCGCATAACATGTAGCTTTTCAACATCTTATGGTTGAGCTACCTCGACCACACTTTAGACCGCCTTTGGAAGACCAGGAGAACACTTGGGATCACTTAGGTAACAGCCGGACGAAGTTTCATTGTTTTAGGGCCAGGGTGTTTTGGCCATAGCACATATTGAACCGGCTCCTTGTGGACGGTCATTCCTGTGGGTGCAGGATCAAAAAAACTTATTTCGAGGATCAACAAAAAAAACGTTATTTGGGGGGATCAAAACATATATCGCCCGGGGGCGCCAAACTGCTGTAATCTCTTGTTCAGGGAAGTTGGCACCATCTTGAGCCACTTCCGCCCGTCCTCCAACGCCCGCAGGAAGTCTTGCATCTGTTTCCTGTAGGCCTGACAGACCGCGCAAACCAAAGTACGAAGCGAACTCGTGAAGCCGTTCTGCACTGGGTAAAGAGGTAAAGATGGGGATCACACAATCAACCGCCACTACCGGGCTTTGAATGGAAGATCCCTTGTGAAGGGCAGAACAGGTGGTTCTTAGTGTCTTGCATCTCGATGTCTGAAGAGATGCGCAAGCCAGCAAACTTTGCTTTGCGCCAATGCGCGTGAGCCATCCTGTTCAAACAGGGAAAGGCTGCGCATAGCTTTGAGAAGAAAGTCTTCCTCATCCCACCTCTCCTGACACTCCCAAAAAACAGCTCCAGAGGAATTATCATTCAGCGACGTTCAAACATGATTTACACATGGACACCTCACAAAACATGAGGGGACAACACATCGACATGGCCCACCGCATTCGAATGTAATTCCAATGCTCCAGTGAAATTCGATGTCATTTCACTGCCTCAGCAGGAAATGAACATCCGAACATCCAGTGTAATTCATCGCCATTCGAATGCAAATCCGCGATGGAAAAATGCAAGGAAGCCAATTCCTCTCTCCACGTTGAGTTCCGGTAAGTTCTTCCGATGAGCTTCAAGCAACTTCCTAGCAGTTCAACCCACGAACTCTCTATGATGCCTCCCTTCAATTCCCAGTGCTTACCTCCAACTCTCCCTTCTCAATCCCTGGAATATAAAAGCTTGAACTTCAGCCAGGCTTGCAGGGATTCCCCAAGTCCGACAGGTGGGGATTTGCTAAAGTCGACCAGTCTTC